TGGCCCTCACGGGGCCAGCAGTGATCCCAGAGAGACAGACGTTGCGCGACGACCTGCACGCCGCCAGACACATGTGGAGGACCCCCAGGGGAAACCGGCGCCTGTCTCCTCGGAGCTCTAAGGCCTCAAGGTCTATCAACTCGTAGTGCATGTACATATCCCACAAAACAGTAGCCGAGCAGGTACCTCTCCTAACTCCAGCTTCCGACCGAAACGCTTGGCGCCACACGCAGTCCAGGGCCCCTCGGCGCCGCCCCGCGGCCTAATAGTCCCTGGAAAATGCATGCTCCCAGGCCTCAGCCAGGGGCCGACGGGCCCGCCCCCGGAGGCGGCAAGCAAGGGGAAAATGCCCATCGGCCTAAAGCCCCCTTTCTCCTTGGCAAGGAGAGCCACCAAGACAGCCGAAAGCTGGGTTGGTAAGATACCCGAACGCTCGGCAAGGGACAGCAGCAGGCACAGCACCTCCAGGCTGGCGTCGCTGAGGTGCTGGAAGTACCGCATGCGACACCCATCATAGGACGCGGCGCTCCTCCCAGTGTACTTCCTGCTCAATTTGCGAAGAAAGTCAACTTCCAAGGGGGGCAGGGCCTCGGAATTCTTGCACTTGAGCTTCGGGGGGGGGGGAAATCTGACCTGCCCGAGGCCAGAAAACGTTTTGACCTCAGCGTCGAGCAGCTGCCGGGGGTCCGAAACCAACGGCCCCTCGGACGAAAGGGTGGTCGTGGGACGCCAACAAAGCGGATCTTTGATGGCACTGTGAGCATTGCGAGCGCCCTGGCGGAGCTTCTCAGTCAGGCATGCGTGCCAATCAAGACCAGCTATGCGCTGGCGGTGCTTCGCGCACGCAGCCAAGACCTCTTTCTGGCGAGCGAGAAGGGTCTCCAGCCTGTCAAGCCTACTAGCGAGCAGCCCCGATGGACCCAAGGTCGCACAGAGAGGGGCCGCCAGTAATGTGCAACCTCTCGCCCCCCTCAGCGCCGCTGTCACCGCGGGGGGCGGCGCGTTCTGAGACCAAGTTTTCCGGGGGGGGATCCAGCTAAACGTAGGGAGAAGGATTAAAACAGGCCCAGTCCTTGAGCGAGCCCCTCATCTCCTGAAGAAGCTAAACGTAGTCCTGGTGAATAAGCTGCCGAAGGACCCACTCAGACTGGAGCAGGCTTTCGACCAGCTCGCCGACCGCGCGCCTGACGTCGCCGGCGGCGCTGCCAGTCCAAACTGAGGGAAGCAGCTGGGCAGCTGCGCGACTCAATGTCTTTCTGAAGAATGGCCCCCAGTCAACCTGGGGGTCCTCACCACGAGCCCCTAAGCAAGGAAGCTCCCCCCCCAGACGCACCACGAGTTCGCCCTCCGACCCGTTGGCCCAAATCTGGTAAGCCCTACTCAACAGACGCTGCACCTCCTTGGCATCCTGGGACCTCAGACCTCTCCCCCCCATCTCAAGAAACACGCAGGCCCTGCCGAAGTCCCCAGGGGGGATCCAAACCCAGGGGGGGCATCGACAGGGAGGGGGGGAGGCTTGCGAAACCCAAGAGCCTGAAGGCGGCATAGAGCCGGATGAAACACCAGCTCCACGGCAAAGCGCGGTGGGAATTCGCTGCCATCACACCGCTGCACACGTTCGGCTCCGCGTGCGAAGCCCCCTGAGACGCGGGAGTAGTCAAAGTCGGACTGACGAGCCCCAAAGCACGCGGGCGCGCCAGTCGAAATAAACTCACACCCAGCCAGCCCCAAGAAACCCGCGCCTTGGAGCTCTGAGGCTTCGAGACTGAAGTAACCCCAACCACGTGCGATAGACCTTCCAGAACCACATGGGCCCCGACGGCCCTGCGCAAATCCAACCGTCGTTCAGTCAGGCCCTCAGCGTCGAAACTGTAAACGGAGACGAGCCTGAAAGGAACACCCCCTGGCAGATGAGGGACAGCACCCAGAGCTCGACCACAATACAACTGTTGAGGCTGCTGGAGCCCCATGAAAGACCAAGCCAGAATTGCGACCCCCCCCAAAGTGCCCCCTTCGGACGTACGAACCGCGGGCCCCCAGGAGCGCTTCCACCCATGATCAGGACAATACTTCGACGCTCTGCCAATACTGTCCGAGTCGGCAAGATGATGCTCCTGGACCAGAATGACACGCGGGGTGCCAGCCGACGGCAGCCAATCTCGAAGCGATCCCCAGCTATTGCAGTTTGCCGTGGAAATAATCAGCTCAAGAAAATCTTCGTCGGGCCTGGGACCTGGGCCAGGGACTCCTGGGCCCGAGAGATCGTTACTAAAGTTCTTACTAAAATTAGCTCCTTCAAAATTAGGCACCCACCTCTTCCCAATCCTACACAGACAACACTCACGCGAGGACGAGGGCAAGGGGGGGGGGGGGGGGGGGGGGCGAGCGGGGGGGCACGAGGGGGCTGGCCCCTCACCTTCCGCAGCAGAACCCCCCGCCCCCTCAGCTGGAGGAGGCGGGGGGGGGGGGGCGAAATGAAGCACCTGATTTGGGGGGAGCCCGCGTAGGCCTGGCACGAAGAGCTGGGTCGGCTCCCGACGGCCGAGAAGGGCTGGCGCCAGGCGACGCACTCCCTGGTCCTGAAGCAGCGGAGGCGGCTGGGGCTCCACCACCAGCCTCAGAAGCGGAGGCACCTCCACTACCGGGTTGCGCCGCGTCAGCACCAGCTCCAGGCTCTGCGCCTGCCTCAGCACCAGGAGCAGCCCCCTGGTCGGTCTTCCTCTTCTTCTTCGCCATGCGCTTGACGTGTTCCTTGTGCTCCTTCCTCGCGGCCTCGAAATGGGACGACGCAGTGCCGAACAGCTGCTTCGCCATCTCCTTAAGGCCATCTCGAAGCTGCGCCTTGCGGGACTCCAGCTGCTCTTTGTCTTCCGCGGACATCTCGAATTCCTCTGGCATGTCGGCGCAGAGGTCGCCCTCCAAATCGAAGCTGGGCTCCTTGCCCCCCACCAGGTCTCGCAGGCTGATGATCGGGCCGTTAGTATGCTTGGGCTGCGTCGGGGGCGCCACCTCAATGCTGATCTGCTCCACCAGCTCCGAGTACTGTCTCTCGTAGCCGTCCAGCTCGTCAGCCATCTCCTGGATGCTTGCCTCCAGGGCTGCGGTAGCCTCCCGCCAACGCTCCAGCTTCGTGATTTCCTTGTCAAGCTTCTTCTCGACCTGCCTGATCTTGCTTTGAGCCTGAGAGGCCCGAGTGTGCAACGAGGCCTCTGGCTGAGCACGCGCAGGTAGGAGAAGTTTAGCACAGGCTGCTTCGTACTGCTTCGCCAGGTCAAGCTGGTTCTGGCGCGTGGCGATGGCCGCCAGCTGCTGCAGGTCCTCAGCACTGATGCCCTCCGCGTTGATGACACCAGGCCGTTGCCCACCACCAGTGCCGACGGGGCCTGGGGGCATCGGAGCTTCACGTTGACCACCAGAAGGAGGAGGACGAGCATTTTCAGCACCACCTGCGGCATCAGGGCGAGACGGAGCATTGACCACCGAGCAGGTTGCACCATCCCACGGCGCCTGACAGTGCTTGCAGTACCACATCCGGCCCATGTTGCGGGCGCATCCGCACGCCCCGCAACGCCACTTCTCATAGCCGACTGGAGCAGCGCGCGAATGCCAGGGCGCAGGGGCCATGCGCGCGCCGATCCAGACCGAGCCACTCTTGACTCGCGACAGCAACAGCCTTCTGAAGTTCGCTGCCGACAAGCTCTGCTCAAATGGCTAGAGCCAGAAAGGCTGAGGGAGGGAGGGAGGGAGGGAGGGAGGGAGGGAGGGAAGGGGAAGGAGGAGGAGGAGGAGGAGGAGAGGAGGATAAGGCGGAGGCAGAGGAGACGGAGGAGGAGGAGGAGGAGGAGCAGGAGGAAGGAGGACGAGGAGAGGAGGACGAGGAGGTAGGGAGGAGGAGGAGGGAGGGAGGGATGGGGAGGGAGGGAGGGAGGGAGGGAGGGAGGAGAGGGAGGGAGGGAGAGGGAGGAGGAGGAGGGAGAGGAGGAGGAGGAGGCGGAGGAGGAGGAGGAGGAGGAGGAGGAGGAGGAGGAGGAGGGAGGAGGAGGAGGATGGAGGAGGAGGAGGAGGAGGGGAGGAGGAGGAGGAGGAGGAGGAGGAGGAGGAGGAGGAGGAGGAGGAGGAGGAGGAGGAGGAGGAGGAGGGAGGAGGGAGAGAAGATCAAGGTGGCTCGGTTCGAGGCACACAGACCGCCAGCGTCAGCATCAGGAGAGGGGGGCAGCGCCGACACCAACACAGAGGACGACAACGAGAACTACAGAAGGTGGAAAGAGGTGGAACAGGAGCAGCAAGAGCACGGAGGGGGAACAGGGGGGAGGAGGAGGAGGGGGAGGAGGACCACGACGACCACGACGACGACGCCGAGGAGAATCAGGGGAGCAAGGGGAAATAGAGGGGCAGGGGGGCGAGGACGACGACAGAAGACGACGAGGGGCAAAAGGAGAGGACCACGACGACGACCAGAACGACTGGAGGGGCTGGGGGGAGGAGGAGGGTGAGGAGGAAGGCTGAGGAGGCAGGGAAGACAGGGGGGGTGAAAGAAACCTTCGGGTTCTCTTCACCCTCGGGGAGATTACCTGGAGGTATGTTCCACCTGTGGCGTGCCCGCCACGCGCGGACGAATGCGATCACACTGCGTGCTCGTCTCGTGTGGTCGAATGTGATCGCATGACGTGTCGGGCGGTGGTAATGGGTGAAGAGAAGGGCCCCAATGGGCCCCTGTAGGGCCCCTTTCTTAGCCATCCTGTTGAGGTCATCCCCCATTACCACCCGTCCGAATGACATGCCGTCCTCTTCTGTCGTCGTCCTCGCCCCCCTCCCCCTCTATGTATTTCCTCTTGCTCCTACCCCTGATTATCCTCGGCGTCGTCGTCGTTGTCGTCGTCGTCGTCGGTGTCCTCCTCCTCTTCTTGCTGTGCGTTGTCCCACCCTCTTCTAATCCTGACCAGGGAGCGCAGCCGCGGCCAGCGGCGGGAGGGCAGGGCCAGCCGCGCGCGGGGTGCGGCCGAGTCTATCAGGCTGATTCCCTCCAGCACGGGGCTGTTCAGCTTGGCGCATTCGAAGCGGCTGAGGAACGCGTTGCCTCAGGTCGGCGGCGCGCCGAAAGGGGGAGGCGAGAGAGGAACAGTCGGGGATCCACTGACCCGGGTCAATCCAAACCCGGGTGAGTCGGGCCTTGCAGGATCCCGCAAGGTCCTGCAGGATCCTGCACTTTAACCTGCGTCAATGTACGCCTGGCTCTGCAGGATCTTGCAGGATCCAGCGCTCTGGCTGACCCCCGATTGCATTGACCCCCGTCTCAAGGCTCCCGAGGCAGGCCTTCTCGGAGGGCGCCGGAGCTCCTCACGAGCCCTCGCGGCTGCGCGGAGGACGTCTCTGCTTCCGGAGAAGGCTCAGAAGCAGTCTCGGCAGGCGCGAGGGCTTGTGAGAAGCCCCGCCGCCTTCTGTGAAGGCCTGGGCCCGCTCCCAGGAGGAGGAGGCGGATGGGGGGAAGGGTACGAGGAGGAGGAGAGGAGGAGGAGGAGGAGGAGGAGGAGGAGGGAAAGGAGGGGGGGAAGGAGGCCGGGAGAGGAAGCGGAGAGGAAGGAGGTGGAGGTGAGGAGGAGGTGCAGGAGGGGGAAGGCAGGAGGGGAAGGGAGGAGTGGGAGGAGGCGAAGGCAGGAGGGAAGGGGAGGAAGAAGGGAGGAGTGAGGAGACGGACGAGGAGGGGGAGGAGGCAGGAGGAGGAAGGAGGAGGAGGAGGAGGAGGAGGAGGAGGAGGAGCAGGAGGGGGGGGGAAGGAGGAGGAGGAGGAGGAGGAGAGGGAGGAGGAGAGGAGGAGGAGGAGAGGAGGAGGAGGGGAGGAGGAGGAGGAGGACGAGGAGGACTAGGGAAGGAGGAGGAGGAGGAGGAGGAGGAGAGGAGGAGGGATAAGAGGGGGACGACCGGAGGAGGAGGAGAAGGAGGAGGAGGAGGAGGAGGAGAAGCAGGAGGAGGAGGTGGAGGAGATAAGAGGAGGAGGAGGAGGAAGAGGAGGAGGAGGAGGAGGAATAGGAGCAGGAGGAGAAGGAAGAGGAGGAAGGGGAGGTCGTGTAGGAGGAGGAGGAGGACTCGAGAGGCCGAGGAGAGGCCGCGAGAGCGCGGGGCGGGAGCGAGGGCGCAGCGCCGTGCGGTCGAGGAGGCCCGGCCCCCATCTCTGGGCGGGGCGCGCGGGGGGCGCAGCCCTCGGGGCCGCGCAGCAGCGGGCGCCACTGTGGCTACAGTCAACCCGTATGATAAGGATGCGCGACAAGGATGCAAGGGCCCTGGACGCCCATTTCGAGGCTTTTCGAGTGGGGCGCGGCCAACGAAAGTGGGGCGCGGCCAACGAAAGTAGCCACGGATGGGCCGAGGAGGCAAGGATGCAGGGGTATCCTTGGGAAGGTTGCCCATCCTTACTGTGCGGGCTGACTGTAACCCCAGTGCAAGCTGCGCTGCGCAGTCTCAGCGTCGGCGGCGAGCGAGGGGGGGAAATGATACGGAGAAGGCCTGCTCAGAGGTTGCGGGGCTTCTCAGACGCCATCGCGCCTTCTGAGACGTTTTCTGTGTATTCGTGGAAGGTTTAGGAGATTTCTCATCATCCTCCTGTTTCTGTTCCTGTTCCTGTTCCTGTTCCTGTTCCTGTTCCTCCTCCTCCTCCTCCATCCGCCTCCTCCTCCTACCTCGCAACCTCCTCCACGTCCTTCTTCTCCTCCTCCTGCTCCTCCTCCTCCTCCTCATCCCCCTCCTCCTTCCCCCGTGGCCCTACACTTCAGCTCACTGGTGCGGCAACGCATGTCAATGCCACGCGAGCATAAACATATCATAACCAAACTATAGAGACGTACAGCTGTTCATGCTGCGACGCATCCGAATCCTCAGCGCTGGTCGCTTCGTTCGCTTTGCGACACGAACCTCAGGGCGCTCGGCACGGATCGCCGAGATCGCCCGAGCTTCAACTACAGCTCGTGTGTCAGCCTAAACCTGATCGTCTGATCGATGCGCCGTTCGAGCCATCCCTCCCGCTACGCCTCCCCTTCATGTGCCTCCCGCTCCTCCTCCTCCTCCTCCTCCTCCTCCTCCTCCTCCTTGTTGTCCTCCTCCTTCTCCGCCGCTCTACCACTTGTGAGCCAAGGGCCCCGCCGAAATGGCCCAGCTGCGTGAAAGGCATGGACTTGTCGACGACTAACGCGTTGCCAGGAATGACCTCCACGCGGCCCAGAGTCAGAAGCCATCGGAGACGAAGGGTCAGGAGATAAAGGGAAGGGCTACGAGGGGAAATGAGGGGAAGAATAGGGATCATGACGGGGGAGCAGGAGGAGGGGAAGCATGTGGAGGCGCAGGAAGGGGGTGGGCGACGCCGATGACGGCGACGAGGATTCGAAGAAGGGGAAAGAGAAGGGAGTAGGAGATGCGAAAGATACCAAGAGAGGATAAACAAACAGGGACATGCTCAAGGAACAAGGAAACCAACAACTCATCCCTTCTCCCTTCCTTCTGAATTCCCCCCCATCTTCCACTCCCTCTGCCCGCTCCCACATCCCCCTGTCATGCTCGTGCATATCGTCGTGCAAAATCGGACGCGCTTCCAACCCATCGAATTTGAGTTGTTCCACCTTCGTGGATTGGACGATTCTATTATCTGCAGAACGAGCACGGCGAAAAACGAATGGATGCGAGATCAGGAACAAAACGGAACATGCAGGCGTACGGGTTGAGGAATACAGCGAGCCTGACTGGCACAACAAAAAGCCTCATAAATAACTGGGGTGAGAGAAACAAATGTCGAAAGCGAGCGGTAAGAAACCTAGCAAAAAGACGGCCGAGGTGGTGCGTAAACCAAGCTCCTGCGCATTCGGAAGGAGTTTCGGAGGCAGGGATGGAGGAGCCACACATTAGACGTCACGGCGTATCGTGACGTGGGCCCTGGGGTCTCCTGGCCCCGACCTCGAGGTGTGGTTGATGGATCGCTTGGATTGTCCTGGGGCCCAGAATGGCGTTCAAAAGAACCCACTTACAGTCGGCCCGTATCATAAGGATGCGCGATAAGGATGCAAGGGGCCCTGGACGCCCGTTTCGAAGTCTTTCGAGCGGGGCGCGGCCAACGGAAGTGGCGAAGGATGGACAAAGAAGGCAAGGATGCTATGGTACTCTTGGGAAGGTTGCCGATCCTTACACGCCAGTCGGAAGAAGTAGGTAAATACATGAAGTAGGAAGGCGGATAAAGCAGATTGGGTTCAGGCCCTCCCAGAGAATAACAAAACGCAGCAGAAGCATACTCCAGATTTCGTAATAAAAGGGAGGGGGTCTGGACCCTCCAAGACAAGCCATTTCAGACCTCCCCCGTGGGAGAACCCTCCAAAACATCGTCCCCAGACCCCCCCAGGCCCTGCAAGATAGCCTGGCAGAGACCCCCCCCCGAAATGAGACCCCCCTCCCTTTATTACGAAATCTGGAGTATCGGTTGTTGAAGTAGGAAGTCGCTTGAAAAAGATTGGGATCTGGGAGAGAGCGTGATCCACAGCCGCTTTACTGTGGAAAATTCCCCCCCCTCTTCCTCCGGAACCCGGTGTTCCCCCCCCTACCGAAATCACTCCTGGCCCCCATGCTGGAAACCCCCTCCCCCACCCCTCACCTCCCCCGGCAAAACCCCCCTTCTTCCCCTACCCCTCCCCCCCCCCTCCCTCGAAGACCAGGGGGGGTCACTACCAGTCGAACCCCCCCCCCTCGAAAACCGGAGGGGAGGCCACTACCGGTTCGAACCCCTCCCCCCCCACCCTACTGGTCACTACCGGTTCTAACGACTCCCGGTCCCTACCACCACCGTCCGCACCACATCCCCCACTGTTGTTCCCAGCACCACTGGCCTCACCACCACTGTCCCCACTGGTTCCACCACCGTCCCTACTGTCCCCACCAGTGCCCCCACCACTGTCGCACTGTCCCCACTGTCCCCACCACTGTTCCCACCACGGTTCCACTCTCCCCACTTTCTCCACGGCCCCAACCACTGCCCGACTATCCCCATTGTCCCCATTGTCCCACTGACTCCTCCGCTGTCCCACTGAGCTGTCCCACTGTTTCCACCACTGTCCCCACTGTCCCCACCACTGTCCCCACTGTACCTCTGTCCCATTGTCCCACCGCCGTCCTCGCCACCGTCTTCACCACTGTCCCCACCACCACTGTACCCTCCACTGTCCCATGTTTCCACCACATTCCCACTGTCCCCACACCACTGTCCCCACCACCACCGTCCCCACCACTGTCCCACTGTCCCCACTGTTCCCACCATTGTCCTCACCACTGTCCCCACCACTACCGTCCCCACCACTGTCCCACTGTCCCCACCACTGTCCCGCTGTCCCCTCACCACTGTCCCACCAACACCGTCCCCACCACTGTCCGCACCCCCACTGGGTTTTCGAGAGGGGGGGGGGGGAGATCGAACCCGTAGTGACCCCCCGTTTTCGAAGGGGGAGGGGGGGGGGGCGGTTCGAACCGGTAGTGACCCCCCCCTCCTTTTCATGATGAGCTGGGGGGGGGGAGGGGTCGAACCGGTAGTGACCCCCCCCGGTTTTCCGGATGGGGGGGAGGGGGGAGGGGTTCGAACCGGTAGTGACCCCCCTCGGTTTTCCGCCAGCAGCGGTAGAACACGCTTTTTAATGTATATATATATATATATATATATATACACACCTCTTCCTATATTTTTACATGCCCGGGCGGGGGGAAAACCCGTCCCCCCCCCAAAAAAAACCGGACTCCTGGGATCTGGGGCTTTGGGAACCTCCAGACGGGCCTCGAAGCGGCCCCTGGGCCTCGCAGGGCGTTTTGCCAAGCCTTCCCAGCACACCTAGGGCGATCAGGGGGGTCATCGGAGACGTCCCAGAGACCCCCAAGACAGCACCAGAGCGCTCCAAGAGTGGCCGACGTGACCTCAAGATGGCCCAAGAGGCCTCCAGGACGGCCCCAAAGAGGCCTCCAGGAGCACTCCCAAGAAGGCCCCCCGTGGCAAAAACCATTGATTTTCTATTGGTTTTTGGTGAAGTCTGCGGTTCTCCTCTATTCGGCTTCCCGACGCTTCAAGACTGCGGTCTTCTGGGCGTTCGAAGCCGCCTGGGGGGCTCCAAAATCGCCCCACAACCATCCGAAAGGGCTTCCAGGCAGTCCAAGAGAGCTCCCAAACGGCACAACACGGGTCCAAGATGGCCCTCAGAGAGCCCCATGGCGGCCCAAAATGGCCCAAAGACACCCTCCGAAGCATTCCGAATCGTGACCCGGTCGTTCAGTGATAGTTACCTCGGCTTGTGGGGCAGGGTTGCCCGAGGGAGCCCCGGAAGGCCCCCATAATATCGTCCACCAGGAGGCCTCCTAAGGCCTTGAGAAAAGCCCTGAATAACCCACTATTATTTTTGTGAGGCCCCCAGAGGCTCTCCAAGGAGGAGCCTCCGCAAAAAAGAGCTGAGGATGGGGAGTGTGCGCAGGGTATGGCGAAAATAAGGAAACAGAAGCATGGAGAAAGGATAACGAAAAACATTATCATAGCGGCGATGCCGGAAAAGGCAACAAGGAGTTATCGCTAAATTGTCGGCTTGACCTCCCTGCTATTTCGCCGGCATACCAAACTTCAAGGGCCAAGGTGCATGGCGCGAAGCGCCACTGCAACCTTGTATATATATATATATATATATATATATGCACAGAGATTTCACTAGTGGCGGGACCGCAATCCATCAACTAGGGCGTCGGAAGGATGATTGGTTTCCACTACTGTCTGCGTGGGGGTTCTAGAGACCCCCAGCGTTAAACCCGTGCATGTACATAAGTCTGTATACATTTGTATATGTGTCTATACATATGATTGCATACATACACTCATACGTCAAACAAGACTTCGACGGATCCACAACGGGGCAACCGCGGGATAGTACCCTATTGTCTACCGTGTTCGCTATCAAGCACTCGACCGGTCTCGAAGTTACTCCGGTTTTTGTTCACGGTTTATTGGTCTCACCGCTTATCCGTTCATTTCGTGACCAATTTCTTGATCGTCTCACTGTACATCGGTATGTATTGTAGTGGCCTCCAGCCAGTGCCGCCGATCCGGGGCGTTTCTGATGATGATGGTGATGTGACGATGGTGATGGTGATGGTGATGGAGATGGTGAAGATCCCGGCCCCCCCCAACCCCCTTCCTCTCTCTCCTGTTCCTTCCCCCCTCTCTCCTGTCCCCCCCCTCCCCCCTCTCTCCTTTCCCCCTCCCCCCTCTCTCCTGTCCCTCTCCCCCCTCTCTCTTGTCTCCTGTCCCCCCCCCTCTCTCCTTTCCCCCCCCTCTCTCCTGTCCCCCCCCCTCTCTCCTTTCCCCCCCCCTCTCTCTTGTACTCAATATGAAGACTACTCTCATCTTCCCCCTGATGACGGGTTGGGAGTGTTCGACCCCCCCCCCCCAGCGTATTTTTTTTTACACACAATTCCCCAGAGTTGGGTTTTCGCTTGCATTTTTTTTCAAAATGCTGCTCTCGCTGAGGCGCCGGCCTCATTTTCGGGCCCCGCTCGTTCCGAATCGTGCTCCCGCTGCAGCGCTGGCCTCATTTCCGTGCTTCCGCTCGTTCCGAATCGTGCTCCCGCTGCAGCGCTGGCCTCATTTCCGCGCTTCCGCTCGTTCCGAATCGTGCTCCCGCTGCAGCGCTGGCGTCATTTCCCGTGCCATGCCACGGCATGCAATGCAATGCTAGGTTGCGTTCCGCTGCGCGATGCCATGCCTTCAGCTGAAGCTGTGATATGCAGTGCTTAAGTGCCAAATCGTGCTATGCCATGCTACGTTTTGATCTTCGACGGCATGCTATGCAATGTTATGTTCGGGGCCGCTGTGCGATGCCATGCTTTGCGTTGCAAAGCTTTGTGATGCACTTCTTCACTACGCCACGCCACGCCATGCTGTGACATACTACGCTCTGCGGTGCTCTTCTACGCCATGCCATGCCGTTCTCTACAATGCATCGCGTACCCTTTCGGGATCATTGCCCTGCTCGACATCCGACTGTGCGAGTAGAGCGGGGATCTACGCCATGGTAAGGGATGGGAGGGAGGGGTAGGATGTCAGATATGACGCGAGCGCACCTAGCTTGCCCCCCTCCCCTCTCCTTTCCCCCCCCCTCCCCTCTCTCCTGTCCACCTTCCCCCCCCTCTCTCCTGTCCAACCCCCC